GCATCCTCTGTTGATCGGTTCTCACGGTATGCATACTGATGAGGGTCCTCGTTGATGTTGATGGTTGTTTTGATGTGAGTCATGACCAGTTTTTCAAAGCATTTAGCAACTATCGGGGTGAGGGCCACTGGCCGATAGTCATTCAGACCAGTCACTGTAGAGCTTTTTGGGACTGGGATGATGGTGGCAGTCTTCAGGCAGGTGGGAACTGTCTCCAGGGTAAGTGAGGTGTTAAAGATGTCTGCCAGCACCTCACAGAGCTGATCGGCACATTCTTTCAACACTTTTCCAGGGATGTTGTCTGGGCCGGTTGCCTTGAGCCAATTGATCCTCCTGAAGGTACTCCTTACTTCGGCTGAGGTCACGCTGAGATGCTCTTCATCTGGTGGTGAGGTGAGTCTGTTGCTGGGTGGTCTGTTCGGGTCTTCAAAGCATGCATAGAACTTGTTGAGGGCATCAGGCAGAGAGGGGTCTTTGGGGCATTGTTCGCTCCTTCCTTTATAATCTGTTATGCACTTAATGCCCCTCCACATGCTCCGAGGGTCTTGTGAGATGAATTGACCCTCGATCCTCTGTGCATATGTGACCTTGGCCTTCTTAATACCAGCAACCAGCTCTTTTCTTGTCCTACTCAGCTCCTCTGAGTTTCCAGACCTGAAGGCAGTGTTCCTGGCTGCCAGCAGGGTGCGCACCTCTGCATTCAGCCAAGGTTTTCTGTTTGGGTAGCTTTTAACATTTCTGATAGTGGAGACGGTGTCAGTACATGTACTAATGTAACCCAGAACTGAGGATGTGTATTAGTCCAGATCAAGCGAACCTCCATTTTCAGCAGCTTTTCTGAAAACCTGCCAGTCTGTTCGGTCAAAACAATCTCTCAGTATGAGGCCACTGTCCTGGAGCTAATATTTAATTTTCTTTTGTACCGGTCTGGAGCGTCTCAGCGGGGGCATGTGAGCAGGAGCCAGGAAGATTGAGATGTGGTCTGACAGTCCTAGGTGGGGGCGGGGTTCAGCATTGTATGCATCTTTTACGTTCGTGTAAACACGGTCCAGTGTCTTGTCTCCACGTGTTGGAATTGCCACATGTTGATAAAAGCTTGTGAGGCAGTTATAGGCAGTATATATATAGATATATAAATATATATATCTATACATATATAAATGTTTATATATATATATATAGATATATATATATATATATATATAAATATATATATATACATATATATATATATATATATATATGTATGTATATATATATATACTGTATGTTTTATATATAAATATATATATGTGTGTGTGTGTGATTTAAACCCTTCCCATACTTTTGCAATATTCTAAACAATGTTTCTAAACTCTAAACACTCTAAAAGAGCAGAATGTTATGATTTCCCTCTCTGTGCCTCCACTGCGCTCAGCCACCTACAAGCATTCTTGGCCACGCCCACTCCTTCGCTCTTCATGGTAAACAGCTGAACAGCTGCAGCACAAAGCTTATCCTGCAGCTGTGGGTTGCAAAAAGGTGCAGCAGGTGCTAAACCATTTAAAATAATTTATTTTAAATAAAAATTTCATGCCTATTTTGCGGCTCATCCATCAATCAGCCAATTGTGTCATGTCCAATCTTATTTTGAAAAAGCACGATAGAGCGAGTCCATGAAAAACGAACCCCAGAACTAGAAGAGTGGCTCCAGCAGATCCAGGAACAACTTCACAGATCTCTGTCCAGGAGAGCTCAGTCCTAGGAACAGCTGAAATACTGAACAGAACCCTCATAATACAGGTCTCTGGTAGAGGACCAGAGGTTGGAGTGAAGTGGAACGGCTCATGTGATAAAATAGGGAGAACCCAACTTTTCAAGCATTCACAGTAAATAATTTTAGGCTTTTCCAACTTTTCCAGCATTTAGGGTAATTCCTCAGTCTGGTCTGCAATTTCTCTCCACAGAGTGAAGCTGGCAGTTAGTGGAGGTCCAAGCCTGAGAAGACACCATGGTGGGAGTAGAAAACTAGCACAGCTAAAAGATAATTACATGTATATATTTTGCTCATTCACTAGAGAAAAAACATGTTTAAGGCCACCCCTCTGACTCCTAACTGAAGATGACTGCTATAGAGGAACATCTCATTAAACGATGCATTCATGTAGCAGCTGGGTCATGTGGAGATGACTTTGTTTTCTGAGAGAACAGCTGCTCTCACATACGCACAGGCTGACAGTCTGCTACAGTAACAGCCGACTGTTGGGTAAATCTAGAGAATTTATATTATTGTTCCTGTTGATTGGCTCCATGTTTGAGTTTACAGAGCGCTCTGTCTCTTTCTGAAACAGAATTAATACATTTCAGTTCAACAGCGAAGACGCAGCTGAGCCAAAGAGCCGGTCTTAAATGTTCCACCAGGTTGGAGCTAGAGGAAATTGTGGGTACATACGTGTAGCAGCTAGTTCATGACCACTGACTGTGGTCTTTATACAAACGAGTCAGGTGACACTGTTTGTAGACCAGCACCGTGTCAGATCTTTTCTCCCTAAGATCAACAATATCATTTGTCTTGCACCTCATTAAGCCATTTACCATTCCACTTTATCCATTTTATTCCTCGCCCCCATGGTGCCTTGTGTAAGTTATGGGCGTGACTTCCGGTGTGGACCAGAACCAGTGTTTGTTTCAGTGTGAACAGTACGAGCTAATGTAGTTTCTCTGAGCATTGTGGATTTAATTTAAACATGTAGAAACACCACCTGTCAGAGCTCTAATGGGACAATCATACCGCTGCCTGTCTTATTGACCTTATTTCAGACACAGAGACCAGCCAAAGTCTTAAAGTCCTCCATCACTGAGCTTGGGTTCATTACAGAGAAAATATGCTGATGCATGCTCAGTAATCCAGGTAGAAAAATCTAAAAAAGTTAAATCTGGTCCTCTGGACATTCAAAAAAACAAAACAAAAAAAATGTAGAAATGTTTCATCTTTCATCCGAGAGACTTCCTCAGTGTGAGGTGCTGTATTCAGCTCAGTCTCTTAAATAGCACCTTCTCAGAGTGGATCAACCAGTTTGCTGCTGACAACCAGAACCAGCTGATCACATGTTCAAGAAGGACCATCAGCCTAACAATGGATCATTAGCACCTGATGGCTGTTTACTGTTCACAGAGGGCTGAGTGATACTAGCAATCACAGCATTGTAAGAGGGGGACAGTTGAACCTGGAGGCTCCACCCCTGTTTAATGATGGACGGTTTCTTTTCACAAAGATGGCCTCCTTTACTCCTCTACTCCGCTCTTTCTACAGCGTGTTTGTTGCTTATGTTGCTGAGCATGCCCCTCCTCTGCAGGCGAGCTCCAAACAGCAGGAGATAATTTCTTTTAATGCATTTTAAACGTTCTCACAGTCTGGACAAGAATTAATTGTCTCTCGCCTCGCTCGGTTCTCATTGGCTCCCAGTAATGGAATGGCCCTGACAATGATGGATTTTCTGTTTGTTCTAATCAACAATCATTGATTCAAAGAACTGCATGGTGCAGCTGCTGCTTCATGGCGAGCGGGACTCACCTTGGTTGCAGATGGCCCCCCCGTAGGCGGACTGCGAGCAGTCGCAGATGTAGCCGTTGCTCTTCTCGATGCAGCGCCCTCGGTTGTGGCAGAGGCTGTTGGAGCCGCTGCAGTAGCCGGGACAGCCAGAGCTCACGCCAGGTGTCATCTTGGCTCTTTCTTCCAGGTCAAAGTTCACTCCGTTGACCGTCAGGGATCTGATGCAGCCCAGGAAGCCTCTCTGCTGGGACGCTGCTCCCCCTGAGCCAAACACAACAAGGAGAAATTTCAGCGTTCACGATTCAAGGAGTTAACAAGAATGCATATCGCCCGCCTCCTTTCATGCTACAGTTTTAGTGACATCATCATTTGATACCAATACGTTATCTATACAGCCCTTTGAAACAAGCACAGCTGCAGCAAAGTGCTGTACACATAAAATACAGAAACACGTAAATCTGAGTTACACAATAATCTAATGTTAAAAGATCTGTCTAGTTTGAACAATAAACTTAAATTGAAAAACAATCACTTCAGCTATAAAAACAAGACCGAAAAAAATACTGTAGGATGTTTACACCAAAGTTCCAGCTCAAGGATTCAAGGATTCAAGGATTCAAGGTTCTTTATTTGTTATATACTGTAAGGATGTTAGTTTTCTGTGGCCCGGTGTGTCTGTTTCCCTCGTGCTCCTCGTTAGTTTCCATTGTTGCCACCTGTGTCTCGTCCCAGCTGTTTGTCATCATGTCTCGTCTTCTCCTTGTATTTAAGTCTCCCTATTCTGTCTTGTCCTTTGTCGGGTCGTCTTCGTTGGGTGAGTCTCCTGAGTCTCTCTGTTTTCCTGGTTCCTCGAGTTCCTCGTGTCTCCCGAGTTCCCCGTGCCTCCCTCCTTGTTTATGTAAGTTTTGCTGCCCCGTCAGCATATTTATTTTGTACTTTTTATTTATCATTAAAAACTTATTTTTGTATAACTGCCGAGTTGAGTCCCTGTTCTGCACTCTGGGTTCGCTCCGACCACAAATCCTAACATATACACCACATGTTACATGTGGTGGAACGGAATTGTGTACACAGGGTCCCAGTTATATCCAACAATAGTATAAAATGTAAAATAAAAACATTAACAAGATATAAAATATGAACTAATAAAACATTTAACTAAAAATACAATAAGCACTAATAGCATAAAAACAATACGCTGAACAGCAGCACGAACATGAGTCTGTGTGAGCAGATGAGCACGCATGAACACAGCAGCTTGAAACAGATCAGCAGCATGAAATATATCAGCAGCAACATGATGTGATTTTTCACAGTGATAATCCAGGTATAAATCCAACAATGTTCAGTCAGGTCATCTGGATGGTTTCTTTATTTTGCTGAGATGTATCGTCCTTCATCCAAAGGACTTCTTCAATCTGAGGAGCCCCGAATAAACTGATTACTCCAAACAGCTCACTCCATAGCAGGAAAAAAAACCAACAACAACACTGTTTTTGTAGGGTGCTTAGTTTGATAATTTTGAAAAAAAATTATGACACACACACGTCGCCATTTTATTATGCTGCAATGCATTCTGGGAAAATCATACTGAGCTCCATTTACCTTGAATGTTAATTTTGGACATTATCTGACCTGCAGCCCTTAAATTTGAAACAAAGAGGAGAATGGAGAGGAGTCAGCTTTCCTCATGTTAACTCCAGAGATAATGTAAAACATATTTAGCTCCAGAGCTAACATGTTATACATAATCTCTGGAGCAAATGTATAATATGTTAAACTATATATATATATATATATATATATATATATATATATATATAGATGCATAATTCATTAGTTTGCGTTGATGCATCGACACAAATTTGCATCTGAATGCATCAATGAGTGTTTTGTAAATCGTGGTTTTCCTCAGCGAAAACTCAAACGACTGGAGCAGATGTGACAAACAGAACCGTCAACCACCTGACAGTTATTATCTGTGGAACTGCAGAGAAACGTGACAGGAAATATAAATACTACTAAAAAATACAACTCTGAATTAGGGCATTAACAGAGTACTCGAGTAATCTACACATCGATTGCTAGGACATCTATCGAGGTTAAAAATGTAACGTCGAGTATCCGTAGTGACGTCATATTATGTGACCACCGTATGACCGTAGGGGGCGGTGTTACACTGTTGCAGGTCACAGAGTATGGTGTAACACCGGGTCCAATCCACCGAACCAGAACCAGCTTCCTCTGACCTTGTTTCACAAACAAAAAGCAAAAAATATTAATCTCTAAACCTATAAAAAAATCTATAAACATATTAATCTCTAAAACTAAACTTAATGCGCACCACAGCTGGCGGTGGTGCGGGGTGGTCGACCCCCCCCCCCCCCCACACACACACATTAAGTTTCGTTTCTGACGTGCTGCATTTTCTTCACGTTTGCAGTTTAATAATAATAACTAATAGTTTAGTTTTTCCTGTGACTTATTTGCAGTATGATCAATGGTAGGAGCATAATATACACTCCCAATGTTTTGTTGGTCTTTTTTTTGTAAATAATGACCTTTTTATGCGGTTTTATTTATTTATTTATTTTTGTATCTTGAGATCTATGACGTCATTAAATACTCGAGTTCTACTCGGGTTTTATTATGTTAATGTCGAGTTTAAAAATTATATACTCGTTCAACCCCTACTTTGAAAACTAAAGTCAGACACACTGTGCTCATCAGCGTATGTGAATATAAAAAAGTGACTTTATGCATTTACTCATACGTTCTTTGTGCGCTTCAACGTGAGACAAAAAGTCATATTGGTATAAAAACTAAAAAACAGATATGATCTTGAATTTATGACATACATCCGTTATCTTTTACCCATTTCTTCCATTTTGGGTCACGGGGTTTGCCGGTGCCCATGTCCAGCACACACATTCTCTCTGCTCCTTCTCCTCAGGTCAAGAGTCTTGGTGTCATCCTTGACACCACTCTCTCCTTCACTTCACACATCAACAACGTCACTCGGTCTGCCTATTTCCATCTCTGAAATATTAACCGTCTCCGCCCTTCTCTCACACCCCGCTCCACAGCCATCCTTGTTCACAGTCTTGTGACTTCTCGGATTGACTACTGCAACTCCCTTCTTTATGGCCTCCCCAATAAATCTCTCCAGAAGCTGCAATTGGTCCAGAACTCAGCTGCCCGTGTCATCACTCAAACCTCCTCCTATAACCACATCACTCCTGTCCTGCTGCAGCTCCACTGGCTCCCGGTTAAATCACGCATCGTCTTCAAAATTCTTCTTCTCACTTTCAAAGCTCTCCACAACCTTGCCCCTCCGTACCTATCTGACCTCCTACACATCTCCATCTCCTCTCGCTCTCTCAGATCCTCCTCTTCACTACACCTCCATGTACCCTCTGCCCGCCTCTCCACCATGGGGAGCAGGGCCTTCACCTGCTCTGCTCCTCATCTCTGGAACTCTCTACCCCCTGACTTAAGAAACACCACCTCTCTTTCTCTATTCAAGACTGCTCTGATAACACATCTCTTTAGACTCGCTTATCCTTAACTTTGCTGTATGTATTTTATATTCTTTATGTATTTTATATTCTTTATGTATT